ATGTATATATGTTTTGTCCGTCACATCTCAGGAATAATAGTATTGTAAATTCTTGGGGTGTGACAAGTAGCCAAGCAAATATTTAGAAACCCGGATACCTAAAATTTCATCTTAAAAATTTGTTAATTTCATTGATGTACGATGGAGCGTTATGGTACAAACAACTAGTGGAGAGACGAGTGGGTTTTCAGTAACAATATGTTTACATCAAGGGTTAGAATACCCGTATCTCTTTGTCTTAGTTATGGACTTAAATAGACACCTACAAAATGAGGTATCGTGGTGCATGTTGTTCGCAAATGACATGGTTTTGATTGATAAGACCCGAAACGACATCAATACAAAGTTAGAACTTTGGAGGGATGCTCTAGAATCTAAAGGTTTTAAAATTAGTTGGACTAAAACAGAGTATATGGAGTGCAAATTTAGTAATAATAGGAGTAGAGACAAGGAAGTAATTTAGATTGATGGTCATGAAGTACAAAAAAGACTGCACATTCGATATCTTGGGTCGACAATCCCAAAAAATGGAGAGATCAAGGAAGATGTCGGACACAGAATTAGAGCTGGGTGGGCGAAATAGAGATGTGCAATTAGAATTTTATGTGATCGTTGCATACCAATGAGGCTGAATGGCAAGTTCTATAAAACAACAGTGAGATTAGCTTTGCTCTGTAGGGTAGAATGTTGAGCGGACAAAAAACAATATATACCCATAAAATAAGTGTAGTGGAGATGAGCATGTTGAGATGGATGAACGGCAAGACAAGATGGGATAGAATTCTAAATGAATCTATTCGAGAGAATTTAAGCGTAGCACCAATAAGCGATAAAATGAGAAATAGTAAAATTAGGTGGGCTGGCCATATGTGGTATCGACCAAGGACAATACCTGTTAGAAGGTGTGAGTTAGTTCAAGTGGGACTGAGGATTGAAAATGGCAAGGGGTAGGGGCAAAAGGACATAGTTGGTAGTAGTCCAAAAAGATATGGGAACTTATGGCCTCACAAATGTTTCAAAAAACAGTCTGCCCGGTGTCTAGGCGCTCAGAAAAAATTTCTGCACGCCTCGACTTGGGCGCCCCTACACGGGCGGCTGTACCTGGGCGGGTGCCCAGGGTAGTTGGCATTGTTTTGTATTTAACTTTGCCCAAAAGGGCAAAGGGGGTCATTTTAACCCCCAAGTTTGTATAAAAGAAGTTTGGGGTTTATTTTTTAACCGCAAATTGAACAAAAACAAGAAACCATCAATCTTAAACTTATTTCTGATAATCTAAAGTAATTTCTGATAATCAAAAGTCTTTTTTGTGGATTGAAAAAGTTTTCTTTGCTCATTGAAATTATTTTTACGATGTTATTGGTGGTATTAAAAGGCTTTTGAATTGATTCGTAGCTCGATTGAGGTAGCCAAGATTAGAGATTGGGTCGAAAATGTCAGTCTGTAATCTTTATTTGACTTTTAGTTTTCCAATTTGAGATGTCTTCTACAGGGTCTACTAGGGGTGGAGATCCGGGATGGAAATATTGTGTTAACCCTGATAAGAATGACAGCAATAAAATTATGTGTAATTTCTGTGGATGTGTTTCTAATGCCTGCATAAATAGATTTAAGAAACATCTTGTCGGTATTAGAGGTGATGTTGCCCCATTTAAGACTTTCTTTCTTTACAAGAAAGTCTCAGATCTTGTAAAGAAAGAAATCTTGGAATACATTGAAGTTGAAAATAGTAAAAAAATTGTAAAAAAAAAAGGATATAGCAGAATTAAAGTCATGGGTCTATATTTTTTACGATAATATTGACACTGAAGAAGATGGTGAATATAGGGAAGAAGAGGTAGTCATGGTTGGTACTCCTAGCGCTAAGACCAAGAGGGCTTTTGGGTCTAAGAAGGCTTGTACGAGAGGGCCTATAGATAATTTTTTTACACCTAGCCCTGCGACAGTTATTGAGAAAGGCAAAGGAGGAAATGGAAAAAAATAAGTGACAATTGAAAATATGTTTAAGAAGGAAGATAGAGACAGGGTGATTCAATATATTACTCAATGGTTTTACTATGCGGACATTTCTTTTAACACTGCTCGCTGGAATAGCTTCCATACAATATTGGAAGCAATTGGGCAATTTGGGCCACGTTTGAAAGCTCCAACTCCTTATGAGATTGAAGAGCCACTACTAAAGAAAGTAGTCGAGTATACTAACCAATATCTCAAGACTCATAAGGAGGGCCGGGCTAAATTTGGGGTTTTATTAATGACAGATAAATGGAGTGATAGGAGGAGGAGGAGGAGTAACATGAATTTGCTAGTAATTGTCATACAGGTATAATTTTTTTGCGCTTAATCGCTGCTTCCAATGATATTCATGATGCACATTACATATTTTCTTTTATTAATAAGTGCATTGAAAAGGTTAGGGAGGAACTTGTAATTCAACTGGTCATAGATAATGCTGCTCCCAATCTAGCTGCAGGTCATTTGCTTCGACAGAAGAGACATCGCATATTTTGGACTCCTTACGTTGCACGTTGTGTAGATCTTTTGCTTGAGGCAATTGGTGAATTGCCTACTATTAAATGAATTATTCTAAGGAGGTTATAATCTTCATATACTGTTACATAGTTACCCTTAGCATGATGCGCAAGTTTACAAAAAAGAGAGAGGCCTGAGGTCACTAGATTTGTCACTGTTAAACTTAGTCTACAAAACATATATAAGAGAAGGATCGCATTAAGGTCTATTTTTGCTTCAGAGGAGTGGAGTAGGTGTAAATGGTTTAGAGATGCCAAAGGAAGGAAGGCACGAGATATTGTTCTTTCAAATATTTTTGGCGTGGGGTGAAGCATGCGATATTAGTATTTTTTTCCTTGGTGAAGGTCTTGTGCTTGGTTGATGCTGATAAGTCCTCCATGGGCTTTATATTTGATGCAATGGAAATGGCTAAGAATAATATTGCAGAGAATTTGGGCAAAGATGCAGCGAAGTATGCCCCAATTCGGAGATTATGGATGATAAATGGGATAGGCAGCTCCATAGACCATTGTATGCAGCGGGGTACTACTTGAACCCCAAATTCTTTTATGCAGATGCTGATATTGAGTCAAAAGGGGCAATTATGGATGGTTGTAATGAGTGCCTTGAGAAATTAGTTCATGATCCATATATCAAGATAAAATATCAACTGAAGAGCTCATTTCTTACAAGTGTTCTTTGATGTCATTTGGGAAAGATATGGCATTAAGACAGAGAAACAAAGACGAATCAAGTAGTATTCTTTTGAGTTTTGTTTTATAAAATATAAATTTATAATTTTCTTTCAAGTTCTGATAATGTTAAATACCTAAATTAATTATAAAGGTTGCCCACATATTGCAGCTCAATGGTGGAGATAACATGGGAGTAGTGCTCCAAACCTCTAAACGATGGCTGTACAGATATTGAATTTGACAACTACCTCTTCTGGTTGTGAGCACAATTGAACTTCGTTTGAGATGATATTTTACTATTTTACAATTTTATATGTTTTTTTTGTTTATAAGTTCATCTTGTAATATAGATTCATAAAAGGTAAGAAGATCATAGACTCATAGTAGTTACTTATGCATTATTTTTCCTTATAGGTGCATATAAAGAGAAGAAATATGTTTAAGCAAAAGAAGTTCAATGACTTGGTTTTTGTTAGAGATAATCAAATGCTCAAGGAGAAGAAAAAACAGCCACAGAAGGACCCTATTTATTCGAAAGACACGGAGAATGCTTCAGATTGGCTAGTTAGTGACCCTAGTACTGATGAGTCTTTCCTGAGGAGGGTTTGACATGGAAATAGTCGATGAGGCTTTGGAGCAAGCTTCTGATCCTAAGAGGGCCACTCGAACAACTTCTTTTGCTGGTACTTCACGGAGGGAGATAGAGGAAGAGGAGGTAGATTCAGAAGAATCTCTGGAAGAAGAGGAATATGTTGAAAAGGGTGATGATTGTGATGATGACGGCCTCAATTCTGATGCAGATGAAATCAATGAAGATGATGATTCTGATTCTTATTAATGTTTTGATTGTCTTCTCTCTTCTTTTGTAGTAACTTTATTGCACCATCTTGGTTTGGACTTTAGATATTTGACCGATTTTTATTTAGTTATGTGGTTTGTAATTTTTTTGTTATTTTGGACTATTTCATTGTTTGGTTTACTGGTTTTTTTTAGTTTTGGAAGTCAATTTGTTGAAGACTTGGAGAGTTGGAAACTTGGATGTTAGTATTGTTTATTTTATGCATATGGAATATGAAGAATATGAGAATTGGAGACCTTACAATATAGCCTATTAGACTTTTAAATGTTTTGTATGGTTTGAAATTTTGAATAAGTTTATTCTCAACCTGATTACCTGAGAGGCTGAGACATGTGATATGTTTGTATAAAAACATATGTTGCGAACTTGTAATATTTTCAAATGGAATAAATTATAAAATTTGACACATATATATACATATATGTATATTTGGATAGCAAATATATATATATATATATATATATATATATATATATATATATATATAACTAAGAATTAGTACCACAGGGTACTCGAGGTTCTGGATGCCCGCCTTGATGCTGGGCGCCATGCAGGCCACCCAGCGTTTTTTGAAACCTTGGGCCTCATTGAAGATATGAGTTTTAATAGAGCAGAATGAAGAATTGAGATTCATATAGCCCATATTCGAAAATTAGGATTAGATTGGTAACATAAAAAACAGATATTGAAGTTTTTCGAGAAATATTCTCTTCAAGCCTCGGTGCTTTTCAACACCTCTCTCTTCTCTTCCCTTTTCACCATTCTTTTCGTCAATTTTCATCTGACTTGGAGCCGGCTATGGTCAATTGGCGTGTATATATCTATATATATATAATATTAATGAACATTGCATTCAAACCAGCTTCCTTCTATTACCGTTATCCTTTTTGCATGACTTCATGTATTTAAAGGGAAACCTGTGACCCGCCCATATATAAACCATATCTGACCCATACTCTCAACCACCTGTTGTAGATTAGGATGGCTTGAGCCGCAATGTTAGAAATTGGCCCTTGAGCATCATATCTTGATCCGATGGCAAGTGTTTTTTTTTTTTTATTATTCCACAAGTCATTTTACAGCGAAATTTGGGACATGTATGCAAGGGGGCACATGATAAAAATTTATGGTGATGGAAACTTACCAAAATACTCATGTAGCTAGGAGGGACTTTTTGGTCATTTATTTTCATCAAAATTATTATTTTTTCTTTCAAGGGGCACCCAATAAGAGGAGGGGGCACCCCAAATTATTGTTCGCAAAATTGCCCGATCTAACAACTAACCGCCAGGTTAGATCAGAACCGGCTAGTGGCTGGTTCCAGTTTTTGGCGGTTAGGGTGATCAACCGGTATTTTAAAAAAAATTGGAAAAAATGTATATAAATTATCAAAAATAAGGAATTTGATTTGTAATGTATTTTTAAATATTATTTACATTATAGTAAAGATTAAAACTTGTTTTGGTCATTAATACTCACTTTTATATTTTTCCATCTTTTTTAAAAAAATTTAAAAATAGCCCTTAGAAAATATAAATTGAGGAATCACATGGCATTCGAGATGAAGTACATCGATTTTAAAAGCCGATTCCACCATGAAACAGTGAACAAATTTTGTGAACATGGGTTATTTCATCCTCTCCTTCATGTTCATTATGTCTGGTAGTATAGAAGGACGCACATGAGTTGTCCAAGGATGATGAAGAAGAACCAAAAGACATATTTCCAACCTGGAGAAAGCAAAAGAGAATTTGAGATGTCTAGACACTAGATCCATTAGAGTTCATAAATATCAAAATCTTTGGTTGCCCTGTGTGTGTATTTGTGTGCATTCACATTAAAATGGGCATTTGAAATTTTATATTCAATGCCTCGTGACTCTTCCCAAACATTAGGTTCCAGAAATGAATTTCAACAATGGTAATGGAAAGGAAACATGATAATGTCGCAGAGCGCAACAGATAAACCAGTTCATAAACCACAAAAGGAGATCTCTAGACATCCCATGCGTCATAGTTTGAGTTTCCACATTTCTCCTTGATTTCATTTCGTGTCACGGCTACACATTCAATTTCATGTTTGATCTTAATCTAATCATGGACAATTCACTGTACAATCAAAAGTGACGAATTTCTTGTATTTATTTGATATCTTAGGTGGTGTAACAAACAAATATGTACAGGACACCATTTCCTTTGGTCAGGAGCTGATAGAAGATATGAATAGTTCATGTTATTACCAATAAATTTCATGCCCTCTCTTAATCTAATCATGGACAATTCACTGTACACTCAAAAGTGACGAATTTCTTGCATTGATTTGATATCTTATGTGGAGTAACAAACAAATATGTACAGGACCATAGTTACTTAGAGGGGGAGCGGGAACGGGAATAGCTCCGGTTTTTGGAGCGGGAGCTGAAGCGTCTGATCAATGGCTGCCCAAAGCTCTGGAGCTCGGAGAGTGAGTTCTGGTCAAGGTAAAAGTTGCGGATCGGGATCCCATATGAAGAGGGAGCGCATTCCAATAACAATGGAATCTAGATCCTTACTTAACGGGTACCCGGTCTATGTACAATGGGATCACATTCCCATACTCAATAGGATTACGTTCTCATCCACAGGAATGAGACCCATTTGAAGTTGAGTCGTGCACCCATATAAGAATGACTGTTTTCCTAGTTAGAAAGGATCAACCATCCAAGGACGGACCGCGTTCTGTGCATGATTGTCCGCGCTCCCATCTCAAAACTCCACTTGTATAAAGAGCCCAATTCCATTATGCATAGATTCATGCTCCCACTAAGCACTGCAGCCCATTCCCATATAGACGTGATTTCATTTAGGTTTATTCTAGAAACCATTGTCCTCTGTAGCAATGGCCCATTGGGCTAGATCCAGGCACAACCAATCCTAGATGTGCATGTATTAATTAAATTCCATTTATCTTGTATGAAATAGGTACAATTAAATTCCATTAATCTTGTATGAAATAAATTATTTCAATGCTTTATACAATTAAATTCCATTAATGCTAGTATTGTTCAAAATCTCATACATGATACGCATGTGGCCTGTTGGCCATTTTTGTACCTGAAAATATATTGCTTGTGAAACAAATTACTAGCGTCAATAATTACCGGTGCAATAGATCCAGGAAATGGAATGTTGTTGTTTGGGTATCATCTGGATGCAATCTGGGCATGCATTGCTACTGTTTGGTTACGTCTGGAAGAAATTTGAAAAATGTATTGCCGTTAATTTGGGTTGAAAATACTGCATGAAATTTTGGCACTTCCTTGTAAATTGGCAAAATAATTGCATTCAAAATTACAAAAAATTCGGTGTCACTTCCTATAATGATTGAGTTCTGTGAACACAGAGATCACGCTCCTAAAATTAGGGGATCAAGGATCTTATTTGTTGGGGAACGAGATCTACAATCTTTGGGAACGTGCACCGTGCAATGATGGGATCAAGATCCTTTGTTCATAGAACTGAGTACCCTATAATTGGGAGCGAGATCCCGAAAAAAATAAATCGAGTTCCGGTCAAGATTTCGGTCATGAAACGTCAGAACTGGATTCCGAAGCAGGAGCGCCACCTGTTGGAGCGCTCCCAGTAACTATGTGCAGGACACCATTTCCTTTGGTCATGAGCTGACAGAAGATATGAATAGTTCGATATTTGAAAGAAAATTTCCAAGCCAATAATGGTGATATTAACATTCAAAACGATATGTCCAATATGCAGGACACTAACTAGTGAGAAGAATACGGATTGCAGTTCAATATGGCATTGAATGCATATGCATGCCAGAAAACACAATAAACTAAAAACTGTGTATAAGACCGATATGCAAAGAGACAGAATGGCTGTTCAAGCACCCAAACATAAAAACAATTTAAAATGCAACACACCACTTATGCAAGATAACAAGAGTAAAACAAGATCATGGTTTAGTTCAGCAGTTTCAAGACTCATAACACAAGGACTCTACCTGCAGGACCTCAAACATCTCAGAATTTTGTGACTTAGAGAGAGCACTACCTTTTGAAAACAATATACGACAATGAAATATCAACTAGGCGACTCCATTGAGCTCTTCCAAAGAAGTGCCTGCTCCGGGTTGATCGATATGATTCTCAGGTGCGGCAGATGACTCACAAAATATATAATAGGTGGCCAAAATATTTGAAGTAACTTTCAAATTGCATGTGAAAGAGGAAATGACAATGGCTTACAGGAAACTTTGTGATATTGCTTAAGTTAGGATTGTACTTCTAGCAAGCATCGATGAAAAAATAACTTTTTAAATTGAAGGATTTGAACCCAGGAAATGTCTCTGTGAGCAAGACAAGAAGGTAAGTAAATGATTTTATTTGACAGAAAAGCTAGGGAATTCTCTGAGAGTGTTAGCTTTGGGTGCGGGAATGCTACAAAGGTAAAGGTTCCTGCTACTAAAACATTGAGTCTAATGGAAATGGTATTTTAAAAGGGTAGTTTTGAAAAAATGTGGTTTTTTTAAATGGTGCAGTTGGCATAAGGAT